GAGTTCAGCAAGGTCAGGACTTTGCTTATTGCATTTATTTCAGGTTTTTCTGGGTTTTCTTCATCATCCTATGCTGATATGGGTCTCAGAGAATTTTTTAAACAGTTGGAGTAGTATTTCGAATAAACATATGCTTTTTATCAGTGTGCTCAGTGAAAGTTGTTCTAAAATGCGCACACAACCCCTTTCTTTGTTAAAATATTTATGTCAGACTATATTAATTTACACTTTTTAATGAAAAATTACCAAATTGATTAATTTACTGCTTAATACATAGTATATGTAAATGTATTTAAAATAAGTGAAAATCAAATGAAGTAGACCAATGACAGCAAATTTACAATGAGGAAACAAAACAAAGGCTCTTCCAGGTTTTGCCACCTCTTACCATTATTTTTGCTCCTGAAATTTTCACTTCTCCCCCCCCCACACACACACAAATGTGCAGTTCACTCATATCTGCCTCCATAAAGGGATCCAGAAAAGGGGAGGGACAAGGCAAGAAGGGAATCTGATATCCCTCCCTGCTAAACCTTCCCCACTTTTCAAAGCAGGTGGACATACAGGGTTAAGTTATAATCATTAAAACGCTGACAGACACTCCCAAATCCTGTCAGGCAAAATCCAAAGAAACGAAATAAATCAAGGCCAAACCATACAGAACAAAACAAAAAGATGAAAACGTGTGGCACCTTCAAGACTAACCACTATACAGTATTTTAATGTAAGCTGTTATGGGCACATCCCCTTCTCAGACATCAAGAGACAGAAACAAATCCCGAATCCTAGAATGTAATGATGGGGAGAAGGAGGCTTTTTCCAGAAGACTAGCACCCCTCATTTCTTCCTCTTCCTTTGCTGCTTTCAGTTCTGCCACTGGACAAGCAAAAACAAAACAAAATACATGAAATACCAAAAAGAAACCAAATAATTGAAATCTTCTGATGAGGCTGTGACCTCAGAACTGAACTGAGAAGGACCATAATGCACAGCCTCACCCACCAGAATAGCCCAGGAAAAGAAAGCAACCCTGCCTTGCAGCATGGACATTTTTGCCACCATTCCTGTGACTGTTTGCCAGTGGTTGTGGTAAGGCAAGATTTGTGCCATCTTAATAGTGTAGGTAAAAACAAAAACTTCAGGGAGCAAAGAGGTACATTTTGCAGAATAAATGGCCTGCTTGGAGTGCCCCGACTTAACCAAATAACCTAAAAAGGTTATTAAAATGTGGACATTGTTCTAACGCCTTCCCAGAAAAGTTGAGTTTCAAGTCCTGAGGTAGGGCCATGGCCACCAAGTTAAAGGAAGCTGGTTTCAGAGAGTGGCTTATGTCTTAGACAAAGGATGGTGGTGTTATACCTCATGTATCCACCGCCACCATCATTAACACCAGTAGCAGCTCAGGAGTTGGTGTCCACAGAAAGTAAAAAAAAAAAGCTGACCATACAGAACAAAACAAAAAGATGAAAAACATGTGGCACCTTCAAGCTATGCAACTGATCTGTCCGTTTACACAAACAGAAGAATATTATAGACAAAATTTTGTCATTTGGAGGGGGCGGGAAACATGGTCTGCTTCCTGAGGTGGAACATATATGCAATACCTTGTTCCTTTCTGACAGAGTTGCGGTATCCATACAGAACAAAACAAAAAGATGAAAAACATGTGGCACCTTCAAGCTATGCAACTGATCTGTCCGTTTACACAAACAGAAGAATATTATAGACAAAATTTTGTCATTTGGAGGGGGCGGGAAACATGGTCTGCTTCCTGAGGTGGAACATATATGCAATACCTTGTTCCTTTCTGACAGAGTTGCGGTATACCAAGTGTGCCAGGTGACACTAACAAGTAGAGTTTCCTAGATTTATGAAGTTACCAGGCAAGGAAACAGTATTGATAGCAGAAATAATTGTATTGAATCAAGTACGTTGCAGGATATATACATACACATACTGCTTTGTCCTTGTTTCAATCCAGTGGTCAAACTTACTGCTTAATACATAGTATATGTAAATGTATTTAAAATAAGTGAAAATCAAATGAAGTAGACCAATGACAGCAAATTTACAATGAGGAAACAAAACAAAGGCTCTTCCAGGTTTTGCCACCTCTTACCATTATTTTTGCTCCTGAAATTTTCACTTCTCCCCCCCCCACACACACACAAATGTGCAGTTCACTCATATCTGCCTCCATAAAGGGATCCAGAAAAGGGGAGGGACAAGGCAAGAAGGGAATCTGATATCCCTCACTGCTAAACCTTCCCCACTTTTCAAAACAGGTGGGCATACAGGGTTAAGTTATAATCATTAAAACGCTGACAGACACTCCCAAATCCTGTCAGGCAAAATCCAAAGAAACGAAACAAATCAAGGCCAAACCATACAGAACAAAACAAAAAGATGAAAAACATGTGGCACCTTCAAGCTATGCAACTGATCTGTCCGTTTACACAAACAGAAGAATATTATAGACAAAATTTTGTCATTTGGAGGGGGCTGGGAACATGGTCTGCTGCCTGAGGTGGAACATATATGCAATGCCTTGTCCCTTTCTGACAGAGTTGCGGTATACCAAGTGTGCCAGGTGACACTAACAAGTAGAGTTTCCTAGATTTATGAAGTTACCAGGCAAGGAAACAGTATTGATAGCAGAAATAATTGTATTGAATCAAGTACGTTGCAGGATATATACATACACATACTGCTTTGTCCTTGTTTCAATCCAGTGGTCAAACACGGCAATTCCAATAGTCATAAATCAGATCAGAGTCCTTACAAATCAGTCCAGCAGTCAGAGTCCTTCTCTAAGATTCTTCCACGACGACATCACCACGACACCACAGAGTGTGTATGCTGGGTCTGCTTGCTTTATCCCAGGGTTAGCCAATCCTAGGTTTTCTTTCTCAGCTGATACAAGTCATGTATTACCCCAGCTGCATAAATTCTTACTTGCCTTATTTTCTTAGCGTGGATCCTTACAATTACAGTGTTTATTGCTCTTTTACAACTGCTTAGTACAAAACTGTATTAACAATTCCTCCAGGTTTATGTCAAACCTGTCACTCTCCAATCTCTGAATGCCAAGTACTGCATGTCAACAATTATGAACATGATAGCTGTCCTGTGGTGCCCACAAACATTTCAGAGGCATTTGGCTGCTGTTGAAAAGAGAGTGTTAGAACAGTTGGGAGTTAGTGGCTTGCCCAGGATAATGTACAGTGCAAAATATCAAAGCAGCATATTGCACTCTTGACACCTACTACATCTACTACTGTGGGAAAACACCCATGGAATTTTATTTTGCTGCAAATCTAGGCCTAATAATTGGTTTCCCTTAATTAAGTTACCACTCAGATCGTTCACACTCATGTACAAATTTGCCTTGCTTTACTAAAAAAACTTCTGTAGTTTCATTGTGGCCTCTAGCGGTTTACTGTCAGTATTACAAAAGGTTATACAGATTAAATCTTTCACTTATTATTGTGCTTGCCCCATGTATATATGCTTTGGGAAATAAGAGCAACTTGCTATTAATCAATTGAAGTATAACTAAATACAGTACACAAAATATATTTATCAAATAATTTGGCTGGTTAGATCATTATAATAGAAAGAATATGTATTATGAAGTTATTCAAAAGAAAGGGTATAAATTGAGCCACTCGTAAAATTCAGAACAAACCTATATGTGTGGGGGGACAGGATCACACAGTTACAGAACAACCTTCCCTTTTTGTATGTGACATTTTAACAGTATACATTTTAAAGTATCTGGCTATATATGAATAGGATCCATGTTCAGAAATCTTCATTCATTTTTTTCCATAGGTAGGCTTTATTTAGTGTGCATATAGTATTTCCTTGATGTGTTATGGCATATTCCAGTGAAGGTTGTATTTTAGTGAAGACCAAACATTCAGCTGAATGTAGGTAATATTCAGAAATATGACTGGTGATAAGTAGTTGATCGATAACATCATCAGGGAACCTCTAAGTATATACAAAAGCTTTCCAAGCAGTAGGCTATGCTTATAAATATAGTCAGTCATACCGAATAACATATAGTCACCATCTTATTTCAACTTTATGTATCTTAAACTTTCAAGTTTTCCTAGAAAAGCTAAGTAGAACATTCCAACCAAGCTGCCAGAGGGAGGGCTTGAACCAGCATTTGAACTCACCTGAAGCAGACCTGGCACAGATATCTGCCATGAATTTTTGAGTCTCTTATTATAATTTTTCTACACCATCCATCATGGATGTAAAGCAATGAGTCATTACAAAATCTTTACTAAGAGTTAATTCCTTTCTTGACCACTTGGGTGGTTGGCCCGTGACTGCCCAGCTGCCTTTCCCAAAGTGAATTCTTTTTTCCCCCTTCTTTTTTCTTTTCTTTTCTTTCTTTCTTTCTTTCTTTTTTTAGTAAGGCAAGGCAAATTTGAAGAGTGTGAACGATCTAAGTGGTAACTTAATGAAGGGAAACCAATTATCAGGCCTAGATTTGCAGCAAAATAAAATTACATGGGTGTTTTCCCACAGTAGTAGATGTAGTAGGTGTCAAGAGTGCAATATGCTGCTTTGATATTTTGCACTGTACATTATCCTGAGCAAGCCACTAACTCCCAACTGTTCTAACACTCTCGAATCGGCCTCCTCAGCCACACTAGGCGCTGTTCCAAGTCCTCCATACAGAGCACGGTACCATAGTCTTTCGAGACTGAAGGATGCCTAACTAACTAACTAAAAAGCCTGAAGAAGTGGATTTTTACCCATGTTTGATTGTTTAGTGATCCAAGAAAGATACGGCCTACTCTTACATTTGTGTAATTGTAACTACCACACTGCTTTTTCCTATTTTTTCTGGTAATATTTTGTGCTTGCATAGTTATCATCACCATGATACAGAGTTACTGCAATAACAGCAAATATGTGTTTCACACTGCAGATAAAGTGTCTGAGGTGTTCTAATAGGACTTTTTTCTCTCTCCTTACAGATAAAAGCTGCTGTTTCTTCTTGTAAGTACCGTTCTATTAGTTTCTCCCCATTTTAGTGTTATGCCTGATAGATAATAGTGAGCAAAGATGGTTGCTAACATCCATGTTTCTATAAATGTTCTTCAAAACTTTGTTGCACTGTTGGCCCATTTCGTGATCCCTTACCCACTCCCATCAAGATCACTGGTACAGTTTACTTGTCACTTGAAATATTTCTGTATTTCAGTATTTTCCATGTTATGTAGTTTACAAATACTGGAAGGCAGAGTAACAAGCTTGCTGCCCTTAAAATTATATCCCTTACTTCCATAAATCTCAAGCCTGCAGCCTGTATGCTGTGGTTCGCTGCACTACAGCAGCTTCAGAGGGTTCACAACATGACCGCCATGGATACTTAGCAGTTGCAGAAAGCCTGTCCCTTCTCTGTTGCTAGAAACAGGTCAATGAGGATGCAGTACACCCTGTTCATGCAGCAGTCTACATGTCTTTTTTTCACCCATGGAAACGCCCTGGCACAGTCTTCGTGTACTATCATGCAATATTTGTTAAATTCCTCCTTAACCCCCTAAAGCCAAAAGGAGGAACAATCCTATTGTGGCAAGGACAGGGACTTGAGTTGTGGGACTCGCTATCAAATCAGACTAAAGTTGCACTGGTGACTCAACTTAGATTCGACTTAGGTTTTTTAATGACTCTGACCTGACTTGCAACTTGGAACCCACCCACCCCTCTCTTTTTTTTTCAGGGGAAAAGTTTGTTTTTAATAGGGATTCAGATGTGGGGCTTGGGACTCGGTACCAAAGACTTAGGACTCAAATTTCCCAGCATCTCTGTATTGTGGCACCTTTAAGATTAACAAATTTATTTTGGTTGTTGTGGGTTTTTTGGGCTGTTTGGCCGTATTCTTGAGGTCTTTCTTCCTAACGTTTCGCCAGTCTCTGTGGCCGGCATCTTCAGAGGACAGGAGTCAGAACTCTGTCTGTGTCTGTCTGTTTCTGACTTTGAGAATACATAAATTTATTTTGTTTAGCACTGCTGTACAGTGAGTGTGTCGCTCCCACTGAAATGAATGATTAGTCTTTAAAGTGCCACAATATTGTTGCTTTTTTTGCTCTTTATTTTTCTTTTCTTGAAACAGACCATCATGACTGCCTTTCTGAAAATAGTTTAAGCCCACTTTCTTTCCATTTCCTGATCCCAAAACGTGAGCAACGTTCCCCGTCCCTTAACCTTAATAAAATATAAATAAAAAAGAAGGAAATTGGCTGTTTTTCCATGCTTAGTTAAAAAAACTATTAGAATATTTTTATCAACTAGTGAAAAGTCTAGTTAACTAAAACGTATGCACCTGTTGGCTCCTTCTTCTGTATAGGTGGTGAAGAATGCAGTTCTTTAACGGATGTACGTGTGTCAGAAATAGAAATAAGTATCCCGTTTCCTGGCAGCTTCAGAATAAGTAATGTGACTTTTGCAAATGGGACACAGACAAAGCCTCTACTTGTGAATGGTTCAATATCTGAACTTGATCCTGGTACACAGTATGTTGTGTATTTTACAAATGGGAATTCTACATGTTGCGAAGTCATTACAACAAGTAAGTGATTGTCTAAGTAAGTTCCAAGAGGCATGTAATGAATTCTGTATGGTTTGTAAGGCAGTTCTTACATTTTAAGTGAACACAAAATCGTTTTCTCATATGATCTAGAACAGTGGTTCTTAACCTTGGGTTACTCAGGTGTTTTTAAACTGCAACTCCCAGAAACCCCAGCCAGCACAGCTGATGGTGAAGGCTTCTGGGAGTTGCGGTCCAAAAACATCTGAGTAACCCAAGGTTAAGAACCACTGATCTAGAATAAGAGTTTGTGGAATTTCTTACAACTCTCAGAATTCCCCAGCTAGTGTGGCCAGTAAGTAGCTTGTAACCATGATGGCTGGGGGATTCTGCCAATTTAGGGGCATTTTGAGGGGCCAGGAGAATTTAGCAAAGTATATCCTAGAATCCATTGACACATTTCTGAAATGCCTTCTCCCATATCCCACACTATCAAAGAGGTAAGCGCTCCACAAATTTTCTCAGGGTCCTGGACAGAGAGGAATCTGATGGTAGATCTTCTCTTCAAAGGGCAGAGGTCTCTATCTCTTTTCAGAGGTAGAGATTTTTTGCCTATCCTATGAGTGGCCATTCCAGAAAGGATAGCATTGCAACTTTCATGTCCTGGGCAAGAAAGGAATTAACTCTTAGTACAGATTTTGTAATGACTCATTGCTTTACAATTCATCATATTTCATGTAATTGTTTATTTGTATTCCACTCCTAAAATGCTAATATTACTTCAAAGTTTGATGTGTTCTTCTTCTCTGCTCCAGTATTTTTCTATTGCTGGAATGATATGCTCTGTAATTTTCTCATCCTGGACTGGCCGACTATGAAATATCCAAAGTCTATAACTCTATAATAACACATTTCTGCATAGAAGACAGAGCAGGGTATGCCCAAATTGTAGCATCGGCCCTTTTTCAGTAATATTAGGACATGGCGCAATATATTCATCCCTCTCTATATATAATATATATTAGAACTGAAGAATAAGTATGATGCAGGATTTATTTCTTATGTTATGGTTTAATGTTTGCCGCCTGGAAAACTCTAGCAATGTCTGTCATGTAGGCCACATGTTGCATAGTGAATTGCATGGCCTGAAGTTAAGGACAACTTTACTCAGAAGAATTCTAAACTTAATTTCAGAAGGTGATCCAAGGAATTGCAACAATAAGAAACAAACATCTGAGATTTAGTAATTTTTTTCCTTGCCTGAATTCTTCATATTAGGCATATCTCAACATCTTTACATTGAGATTAGTTCCTGAATTTAGTTCCTTTCAGTTTCTCTAGTCAACACTAGCTGCTGCACTCACATTTGTACAAAGAGCAAATGAGCAGAGACCTAGTTAGATGCCCTCCAGAAGCTTATTCACTTGCTGCATGTGGGCCTGAGTTTAGGACAAAGCAGAACTTTCCCTGTTCAAACAGGAGTGACAGATGTTTATGTCAATTGAAAGCAAATTGATTGCGGGTATTAAAAATGGCCCCTAAATTTACACCAGACTAATTATCCAGCACCATGTAATTATTTCTGCAAATTGTTTGTCCTTTGGTAAGTGCCGTGGAAGACAGAATGCATATGCAACGTGAATGAACCTGCCGACTGTAACTGAGCCTGCTTGGCACCTACATCTCTCCTATTGTGATGAAAATGTTTTAAAGCTTGAGAGGAGGATAGCTGGCCACACAGTTAGCAGCATACCAGACTCTGTCGGAACCACACCACAGCATGCTAAATCATTCAGCTGTCTCCTTCTTCAACAGAGCCCAGTCCAGTGTCTGATCTTCACGTGGAAAGCATCGGTACCACAACAGTGAATTTAACATGGAAGAGCGAAGACCTGCAAGCTATTAACTATACCTATCGAATAGAAATAGAAGGAAATGCATCTCCGAGAAATGAGTCTTCTGATACCACCAGTGCAGTAATTAGCAACCTGGAACCCGGAACATGGTATAGGTTCAACATCTATCCGGTTGCTCCTGATAATAAAACTGAGGGAGAGCCAAATAATGCATCGCTGTATACAAGTGAGTACACAAAATCTATCAAGGTGATTCTAAGTATACAAAAACAAATGAATTGGTTGTGGACATGGGAGAGGGCCTTCTCTGTTGCTGCTCCCAAACTGTGCAACACCCTCCTGTGGGAGGCCAGATAGACCCTATCTTTGCTGTCCTTTCACATGTGGACAAAGATCTTTCTTTTCAGACTAGCCTTCTTTTAGTGGTTGGCTGTCAAAGAATGTGGCTTCATTTGAGAGCTGAATTGGGAGAATTTGGCTTCACTGCGATTTGTTTACACAGCCTGCATTATGTTGCAGGTTGCACACACAAGGACCCTTAGGGACACATACAGTGGTGCCTTGAGTTACAAACTTAATCGGTTCTGGAAGATGTTTGTAACTCAAGTTGGTTATAACTCAAAGCACCATTTCCCATAGGAATACATTGAAACCCCATTAATCTGCTTGGGGCGAAGGAAAAAACCCCACTGGAAAAAAAAACCACTGCAAGACCCATCGGAAATGCGATTAATTTGTTCCAGCCGGGGGGACCACCAAAAAACAAACAAACACTGCAAGACCCATCGGAAATGCACTTAAGCCATTCCGTCCGGAAAAAACAAACCGAAAAACAAGCAAACACTGCAAGACTCATAGGGAATGTGATTAAGCCATTCTGGCCGGGGGAAAAAACATACACTGAAAAACAAGCAAACACTGCAAGACCCATTGGAAACACAGTTAATCCATTCCAGCAGGGGGAGAAACACACACACTCTCTAAAAAAAACCACTACAAGACCCATCACAGCACAGAAACATCTCCCCCAGCCCAAACCCACGCTGCAAAACCCTGTACTCACTCAGAACAGGTATCTTAAAAAGCAGAAAGCAATACCAGGCAGTCCGAAGCCTCCTCCGAATGCACACTCTTTAACCACTGGGGCGAAAGAGCTACAGATAAGCAGCCTTTTCGCCAACCAATGGTTAGCAGTTTAAATTCCCTGCCTTTTTCTGCACCTTTTTTGGTCGCATCTTAAAGCTCCGGACACAAGTCAAAGCAAACTTTTGTGGCCAGAGCTTTTCG